AGAAGAGAGCTTGTCGTTAACGCTGATTATCATCTGTTAACCTCATTTTCTGTTTTACAGATATTTATTAACGAGCATAGAGGCAATGTGGTTGGCTGTTGACAGATTTTGTGAGGGTAAGTTCAGGGTTGTTGATGGGTATGACAATTATAACATGACACATCAATGATATACCGTATTCTCCCGGATATAAGACCCCCCGGAATACAGGACCCCCGGGTCTGTAATACGGGGGTGGGTCTTTTATTTTGGCAGGTTTCCACTATACCCCCCTCTAGAGGGGTAAATATTATAAGACCCTCCCCCAAACGTGTATACTACTGTTTTTTCTGGAATTTGATGAATTTTCATGTGTTTTTCTATCATAGTAAGAGTGTGGAAATAGATTTAGGCCCATTAAACCCACACAAGGTTAACTATTCATGAAAATAAGTAGCAAACTTGGGGAAAAACAATAGCCAGATTTCAATGTTATGACCATAGCTAGATTTGAATGAGAAGGCTACAGCCAGTTTTCAGTGTGATGTACCTTATTTTCGAGTGCTCACATTTGCGGACCTACTGAGGATGGAAAAAAAATCGCGAGCATCCCCATCTGAGAAGCATTTGAACACCATTCTTAAAAATATGTCCATATGATAAGACCCGGGTACTATATCATTAGTTGCCTTTGACAAGACCCCCCCCATTTTTTTCTTGATTTTTTCATAAGACCCTAGGGTCTTATATCCGGGAGAATACGGTACCTGATTAGTACAAATAGTTTGGTAGCATTCGCAAACTCAGTTTTTGCAACTCATGCCTCGCTTTCACGCCCATAACATTTCGCGAGGAGGGGCAGGTAGGAATGAGAGTAGGAGGGCCGATAGGACGGGGAGGAGAGGGGCAGGAGGGAAGGAATGAGAGGGCGGGCGAGAAGGAATAAGAAGCAATGCTGGGGACTGATGATCGCACAGCAGGAGGTAAGGAGGGTGGGAGGTAAGGAGGGAGGGAGGGTGGGAGGTAAGGAGGGTGGGATAGGGGAGGCAAGAAGGGAGGGAGGTAAGAAGGGTGCAGACTCGTGTCCCGCACCTTGCTGTGGTACATGTTCTACTAGGCCTCTAGGTCCTGTCCGGTGGGATATGGGGCGGGTGGAGCAGGAGCAGGAGGGGTGGAAGCGACGAATGGAAGTGCAAAGGGGGGAGAGGAGGAACTCATGGAGAGGGCGAGTATGGAGGAGAGGCACGAGCAGGGAAGAGAATACGGGGGAGAATGGCAGCGCATCGTATGCAGCTGCAATTGCATGTTGCTCTTGGAATCTGCGCATCTGCGTATCTCATCCCCGGGCTCACCTGGCGTGTGCTGCTCACCTCTCAGTGGTGGGAGCAGGGCAAAGGATGGGAGAAGCAGCGTCGAAGAAGGGGGAGAAGGGGGGGGGGGGAGGAGAAGGGCAGGGAGTGGGGGGAACAGGGGCAGAGCGTGGAGGAACGCAGTGCAGAGGGTGGAGGGAAGCAGCGGGGAGTGGGGGGAAGCAAGGCAGAGGGTGTGGGGAAACTATGAATAGCATAGGGGGAAGCAGGGCAGAAAGGGGGAGGAAGAAGGGAAAAAAAGGGGGGGAAGCAGGGCAGAAAGGGGGGGGGGGGGGGGGGACGGGAGAAAAGGGGGGGCACAGGGCAGAAAAGGGGGGGGGGGGGGGGGGGGGGGGGGAAGGGAGAAAAGGGGGGGAGGCAGGGGGGAGAGTGGACCGAGCAGGGGAGGGGGGGAATAAGGGAAAAGGATGGGGAAAAGCAGCGCAGAGGGTGGGGGGAAGAGGGAGAGAGGTAAGCAGTGGGAGGGAGCGGTATAAGTGGGGGGGAGGTGGACGATCGTTGGGGGGACGGAAGGGAGTAAACAGGGGGAGAAAAGGGAGGGTAACAAGTGTGCAAGCGGGGAAGGGAGACGGCTGGGAAGGCAAGGTTGACGAGGAGCGAGGGAGACAGGGGAAACGAGGGAGACGGGGAGCGAGGGACACGGGAAAAACGAGGGACACGGGAAAAACGAGGGACACCGGAAAGCGAGGGCGATGAGAGGAAGACAGAGGGGGGTGACGAGCAAGGCAAGCGATGCCAGGGGACGCGGGGCAGAGGAAGGTTGGTGGTATGTGGGGGAAAGAACGGGAAGGGTGGGGGGAAATGCATGTGGTATGTGGGGGAAAGAACGGGAAGGGTGGGGGGAAATGCATGTGGTATGTGGGGGAAAGAACGGGAAGGGTGGGGGGAAATGCATGTGGTCTGTGGGGGAAAGAACGGGAAGGGTGGGGGGAAATGCATGTGGTATGTGGGGGAAAGAACGGGAAGGGTGGGGGGAAATGCATGTGGTATGTGGGGGAAAGAACGGGAAGGGTGGGGGCAAATGCATGTAGTATGTGGGGGAAAGAACGGGAAGGGTGGGGGGAAATGCATGTGGTATGTGGGGGAAAGAACGGGAAGGGTGGGGAGTAATGCATGTGGTATGTGGGGGAAAGAACAGGAAGGGTGGGGGGAAATGCATGTGGTATGTGGGGGAAAGAACGGGAAGGGTAGGGGGAAATGGATGTGGTATGTGGGGGAGGAGGCTGGTGATATGGTGGGGAGAAGGCGGGTTGTAACGCCTATGGGCTAATGTGAAGGGCATTCCGCTGCGCCAAATAACACCCTCGTTTTGACCCAGTGGGTAGCGTGGTGTTATACGAGTAATACGAAGGGGGAAGGAAGGAGGAACGCGGAGGGAAGGACGGAGTTACGTGGTGGAACGGAGGGCTGCTGCGTGTGGTACGTGGGTGCGAACGAGTTGAGGCGATGGCGACGAGGGGAAGGGAGCGTGACGAGGGGAAGGGAGAGCGACGAGGAGAAGGGAGCGCGACGAGGAGAAGGGGGCAACGAAGCGGAAGCGTGGGCGACGAAGGGAGGGCGATGAGGGGAAGCGAGTGAAGGGAGTCAAGGAACCGAAGGCGTCGACAGCAAACGAGGGCGACGGGCAGACCTAAGCGACCAGAAAACATGTTTTCTGTGGCTATTCTAATTCGTTTGCTAATAAATCACTATAAGGTTATAGCAGGGAGCATCTAGAGTGTGTTCGTACCTGAGGTGCCGCGCAGAAACGGAGTGATACGGAGCTAGTTCGGGCGTAAATGACGGGTAACTAAAGAAGTACGTGTGCTTGACATTTTTTGTACGAGCAGGTTTTCAAGTTAGACTGAGTGTCGCTGGCCAATCACGGATCACTGTCGCAAAACTCTTCTTGATCGTGACGGATTGTACAACTTTAGGTGGTAACTTGGTTCATTTTGCGAATTCATGTTCAGGAATGTTGAACTTGACCAAATTCTCTGTTGGTCGACAACGTTTTCGCCAACGTGTCGCAAAGATCGACCCACCAGGCGGCCAGCGAACAACAATACGAGTGTGCTATTTTGGTTTCAGGTTTGGTTCTGTTTGTACCATTGTCAACAGTTTGTCAATCCGCTTGTCCTGTTCTTACACAGAATCGAGGTTCTGCCTGACGGATTTATACGCCCAACTCACGCCTAAGGGCGCGTTCGTTCTTGCCGAACCTGACAAAGTTCGAACTCAAACCGCTTTGCACCGTGGCAAAACGTTTTTAATTGTATTCTACCGTGACGAACCGTTACAGAAGTTCGAACTTTCAGTCAGGTTCGGCAAGAACGAACGCGCCCTAAACCACGCCCAATTCACGGCCAACCAACCAAGTAGTGCAAGTTTTTGGGCGTGCAAGTACCTAATCACGCTACTAAGTTAGCCTTGTGGACCTTCAGGCTCCCCGTTCCCGCAACGGAAAGGATGAGAATTCTATGCGATTAAATGAATATGGTCAGAATAATCTTGGCTCTTTCCTCGGGCCAAGGGTGCGAAAATTGGAAGGGTGGTTTGAACCGAAAATAGCATGATCGACGCGGATGTTGATGGGTTTCTTACCACCAACGCACTGCTCCAAGTTTATGGTGATGGCTTATCCAGCATAGATTCTCGAAGTCTGATGTGTGGATATTATGAGCAGTTATCCAGCGAGACGTAATGGTCACTAAGAAAGATCGCATTGGCTGGCTGATAGTGCTGGATCACGCTCTACGAGACCCCATGTCTCACTAGGATAGTTTATCCCATCATGTGCGTTTCAAGTGGAATATCTTGTGCGAAGCTGCACAATCGGGGTGTCATAACTTGGGACGGCCGTGTGCAAAGTTCCAATAGTGGCAACCAACTTCGTTGAATGAACACGCACTCATGGACAGTCGGCGACCCCGTGGAATCTTCAGCTACTGGTACATTCTCATTGCTGAAATGGTGCATCACTCACGTTCGGAGCATAAACCCCTTCATTTTCTTTCCTCGTCCTTAGTAAGCTGCTTCCATGGCGGCGTTAAAAGTCAATATACTTTTCAGCAAGGTAAGGAGTGGAAACCTGCAGGATAGATTTTTTTCTCTCTCTCTCCTTCAACCTCATTCTTTCTTTCTTTCTTTCTTGATCGATTGCTAAGGTACTCGTTGCCACGTTTCCAGGAAAAGGGGAAAATTTTGTACCTAGAGGCTGGAAAGGACTTCATCGATCTTCTTATGGCTCTCCTTCGAATGCCAACTGCCAACCTGCTGAGGCTACTCTCTGATGCTGGATTTACGACCAAACGGCCCGTTGGGATATTTAATGTTTTCTCCAGCGCGGAAAACCTCGACAGTTCGTACATGAAGGTGGATAAGAGCTTCGTTGTGAGCCCCTCTCCACCTGAAGGCACTCAGGTGCGCTTACTTGGTTGGCAGGAGGTACCACAGTCAACCTCAAGTGGCGGATGTTATACGTGCTCTTCTGGCCATTGGTATATCTCGCTTGGACCGGGTGCGAATTGTGGTTCATGTGCACGTGTCATGGCCCACATTGTACACCCAATTCCAGGGAGCACTTTGAATGCCTCTGGGCCATTCTACTCATGTGCTTCACGCCATTATGTGGGAAGTGGAAATTCAAGTTGTTATAGCTGTCGTAATTACATGAGCAGCCAATTCACCCTAGTCGATAACAGTTCAAACCTTTCTGGAGGGTTTGTGAAGGAGACGTTGACATTCATGGTGACAGACAACTTGGAGTTCTACCCGAGCTCCACCATCAAAAGCATCAGCCTGCTTAACACACTGGGCGTGAAGTCCATGGCTGATCTGGAGAGCTGCGAGACCACCGTCACCAAGGACCATGTGAGTCTGGGTTGCTGGGATCCTACTTAAGCTATTGTGTGGTTCAGTTAGATGTGTAATGTCCTTCATGGCGTGTTTGCAGGCACTCGCACTTGTCCAGGCAGCGATGACGTCAACTACTGCCCTGAACGATGTGTTTGGGAGCCTTCTCACGGTCAGTAGGAGGAAGTAAGGATGGTGTTTGTTTAAGGCGGCCTTGTTTGCAGGTGTGGCTCTTCTTTCAGGAGCATTTGCAGCATGATTTATGATGAGACTTATTTATGGTAACTGGATGGCACGGGGCCGCCTTCAAGGCAACCCAGACCAGACAGATTGTGACCATTGCTATTGCGAACACAGGTGCAAGAATGTGGTAGCTTCTCAGTTGAACAGCACTCGTTTGCCTGCGTTCTTTGTTGATACAGTAGGCAGTCCACTAAATAGCGTGCTTGAAAGGACACCGTGCACTGTTGATGTGTTTGGACACGAATCCAGTTGAACTACGGGCGCGTTAAAGGCCTGTGCAGAAGTTAGGAACATATGCAAAGCCCTCAGCAGCAACCCACTGGTGCAGCTAGATATATAAAGCCTGCCCCCAGCTCTGCTTGATGCCACGATACACAAGGCCCAACGATCAACCAATGAGAGCAATGAGGAGAAAGGAAATGGCCCTGCCTGCTGCTGTGATGGCCACCTTGAAGAGCGGAATGAGCAGATCTGGTAGCTCCAATGCCACCACCACCACCAGCTTCCTGTGGCAGATGAGGAAGAGCGTGGAGGGGAGAGTGAGGAGGGGATAGAGGAAGCGATGACGGCACAGCACAGGAAGCCGTAAGAGACATGCCTTCCCATGCCTTCACGTGGAGCCATCCCAACAGAAGCATGCTTTCTCAACACCTCATGCCTGCCCAGTGCCCACCACCCCATGCCTGCACACCCACCCAACCCACCCTCCTCTCACCATCCTCTCAGCTGTCGCAGCTCCCCTCGTCTGCTGCCCACCACACTGCACTGCACCAGACCCACAGGCCCACCCACCCTCCCCTGCTGGCCCTGTTCCCCCACCCTCCCCTGCCTCCTCTTCCCCTGCCACCCCTGCGGCACGCCACTCGCTGCCCCCATGCACCCCTCCTCACCAACCTCTGCACCCGCAACCCGCACCACAGCACTCATGCCTGAATTGCCACTGCCCACACACACCACCAGCACTGCTCGCCCTGCCTCTTCTCAGCAGCCTCTGCAGCTAGAGCAAAGAGCCCCTTGCAGTGGCGCTGTGGGCGCTGGTGAAGTCGTTGGGGAATGACACGGGGGGCACCTGAGAAACATGCTGCTCCTGCTGTGACGAGGCCGGTAGGGAGGGCTCTGGTGATGCCCAGGCCGCAGCAGGGGTAAGGCGAGCAGTGGGGAGGGTGGGGATGGTGGGGAGGGTGGGGATGGCAGAGAGCAGGGAGGAGCGGCAGAGAGGGGAAGAGGTGTAAAGGCGAGCAAGCGCGCGGATCACGGACATTAGAACGGATAACCACATGCACGCAGGAACTTGCGATGCATACAGGCACGAAGGGGAAGAAAACGAATGAGATGAGCGTGTTGAAGGCGAAAGGATAAAGGGACGGGAGCAGAGCAGTTGTGCGGGTCTTGGCGAATAGGAAGATTATCGCCCATGGAACCAGTTCACCTCATTCCCGAACTTCGTGAACCGTCGCAGAAATCGATACTTCTCTCGGAACGCGGAGAGCACATCACCCATGCTCTCTCCCCCCCTGCTGCTGCTGCCTCCACTGCCCTCTTTGCCAACACTCAACCCCTCCCCTTGCCACGTTTCCCCTTCCACCCTCCAGTCCCCCCTTGCAATTCTCTCAACCCCACCATCCCCGTCCCCCTGCTGTCTCCCTCAGTAGAGTCAAGCGAGTCATGGGCAGGGAGAGCCCCATCCATGGCGGCTCTCCTCACTGCTGGCCACCTCAATCACGGCTAGCAGCGCCGCCTCTGCCATCTCCACCAGCAGGTCGTCCACCACCCGGGCTGTGCGACTGGAGGAAGGGGAAAGGGAAAGAAGCGGGGCGAAGGTGGGAAGAGGGGGAGAGGGTATGACATGGAGCAGGGAGAAAGCAGGAACCAGTGTCACCTTCTGTCCAACACAACATGTGCTATGCGGCTAGGGGGACAGAAGGGAAGGAATGTGAGGGTGATATGGGAGAAGTGGTTAAGAGAGGGAAGCGGGAGAGGGTGGGGCGCAGTCAACACCTGTGCCGCCTCTGCCATCCCACCACGGGTGGTTCGCCCACCACCACCCGCGCGCATTGAGGTGATAATTGAAGCGCCTCAACAATCACCTCTGTGTGACTGGCGAGCAAGCAAGAGGGGAGGGGGTGGGATGGCGGTGGAGCGGGGTATACAGGGGGCAGGGGGGAGTAGGGACCTCTGGCGATCGTTAAAGAGCACATGAGGAAGTGGGGTAGGGGGAAGCAGAGAGAAAAGGGGAAGGAGGAGAGTGGAGCAGGATCAGGAACGGGGGAGCAAGCAAGGGGAAGGATGGAATGACAGGAAACAGGAGGGCGTAGGAGACAGAGCGACCTGTGTCACCTGTGCTATCTCAGCCACCAGGCCAACCAACACCACATATGCTATGCGATTGGAGGGGGGAGAGGAAAGCGCGGAGGCAGGAGGGGGAGGGGGCGATGATGAGACGGAGAAGGCGGGAGGGGGGTTTCACACGCGGTGGGCTGACCATAGCAAGCCCCACGCGATACAGGTGCGAGCGGGAGGGGGGAGTGGGGAACAGAGCCACATGTGTGGCGCCATCCTCAACACGTGAGGTGGTGACACGGCACAGGCAGCATTGCTCCCTCACATTCTGCAATAGGGTCGCCTGTGGCGCATCCACGACCAGTTCACCACCACCGTTACACAGGAAGGCGGTCACAGGCACCCCAGACATACCACTGCCAAAAATCAGCTTCAATTGGCATGAGCGGGGAGGAAGGGGGAGCGACCGGAACATCCTGATTGGCATGAAACGTGGGCCTTGCTGGTTGAGCCCGAGAAGCTGTCGACCAACAACTACTTAAGTCGGAGCTACAGCATATGAAGACGTGCCACTGCTTATAATAATGGCACCGCACCACACCCAGCAGCCTCACCTGTCAGCCCCCCCGTGCTGGTTCAATCGGAGATGGTCCAGCAGCTGGCAGTGCATGGCGCTTGGTTCAAATGGTGCTAGCCTCACCTGTCAGCAGCATCATGCCGGGGGAATCGGAGGTGGGGCAGCAGGTGGCAGTGGAGCGCCCACCTGCCATCCTCCACGGCCCCCCTTACCGCCTCCCCTCGCACCCACGAATCCCTCCCCGCCCACTCCCCCACTGCAACCCCTTCTGCCTCCCTACCGCCTCCTCTCAACCCCTCCTGCTCCCCACAACTCCTCCCTGCTTCATCACCAAAGGCACACAGCTGCCCCCCACCACCCGCACCTACTGCCCATCAGTTGCTGCTGCCACTTCCTGGCTGACGTCAGCACTGCCCGGCCAATCACGTCCGTGCAACTGCCCCATCATCGGAAAGGGGGATGGGAGAAGGGAGTGGATGTGCACATATCAGTGCTTATGAACCTGTGCTCGGATGGAGAAACAAACGGTCTACCTCGGCAGCAGCTGCCTGCATGCCCAGGGCCCACCTCGAATCCGCGCATAGCATGCTGCCCTGCCCATGTATGGGAAAAGGGTCTACCTGCTCAAGCAGGGTCTACCTGCTCAAGCAGGGTCTACCTGCTCAAGCAGGGTCTACCTGCTCAAGCAGGGTCTACCTGCTCAAGCATTGGAACCGTAGATGCTTTACGGGTGCTATTGGAACCGCCTCCTGGGCTGCTCCACCAGCTCAGCAACCCTACCTTTTCAACAACAGCCTAAATGCACGCCCCTCAACCTCTCCTGACTCAGTCACATTCTCCCTAACCCAGTTTGGCCGACACCATGCTCACTCACGCCCCTTGCCGCCATCCATGCTCTCACCCGCTAGCCCTGCTGCCCCCCACCTCACAAACCCCTACTGGCTGCTCCCTCTCCACTCCACCACCTCAACCACCCCACCTCCGCAACAACTGTTGCCTACACAGGACAAAGGGCCCTTACCTGCTCAGCGAGGGCGTGAGTGCATTGGTCCACCAGCCGCCATCTCGCCTCCGCCGTCAGCCCCTGCAGCAGCAGCACTGCCTCCCCGCGTGTCTCCTCCCGTGCTGCCCCGCGCACTGCTGCCTGCCCCGCTGCTCCCCATCCTGCTGCGTCATGCTCTGCTCGCTTTGCTCTGCTGCCGTCTCCTCGCCTCCGGGCTGCCAGCCCCATCGCTCCCATCGCCCACGCCCCTAGCCTCACCTGCCTGCCCATCCCACGCAAGCAGCCCCCCCACCTTCGCCTGCTCCCCACCTTCATCGGCTCCTACCCCGCTCCGTCTGCCCTCATCGCCCCCTACTTTCCCCCTCCCCCACGCTACCGCCTCTCCCTCCACTTTGGCTAGTAATCGCTCCGCTGCACTTCCCCGCCCATCCCTTTCCCCACCATCTGTCCATCCCCTCGCTCTCACCCAACTCGACTTCCCCAACTGCCCGCGACCCGCCAAAGCCGCGCCCTTCCGCACGCCCGCCGTTCTTCCCAACGGGAGTTTGCCACGCGCGCCCAGCTGGGCCCAGCTGCCCTCGTCGCCGTCCGCCGTTGGGGAAAGCGTCGACGGCCACGCCTCGTTGGACTGCCAGTGGGTTGAAAACGAACGCTCCCAAATTTGCGAAAAACGTAACCATCCCCCGACGCACAACGACCCGTGTCGCACAGAGATTGCTTGTTGTGCAGAACTCTAAAACCCCCCACCCACTCTGAGGCGCCGCCTAACCGCTCTACCCCGCCGCAACCGGCCTCCGCCTCCGCCTGCTTCCGCCGAGTCGTCTGCGCTCGCGCAAAGCAGCCGGTGCTCGCGGAATCAGGGCGCGCGGAGGGACAGCGGCGAGCGCAATTAGCGGAAAGAAGATACGCGCCATGGGGGGAGCGAGGGTCCGACATGCGGAAGGGTGTTGGTGGACGGAGACGGAGCCGAGTCGCGTGCGACACATATAGACGCGGGAATGCGATACAATGCGACGAGGAGGACGGGAAAAAGCGCGGCGAATGTGACAGCTGCCGTCGTGCTTCGACACAAGGATTTGAGGTGTGA